GGAAAGAGTTCTAAACATCGGTTTTAATTTTTTTTCATTAATACTGTTTTAGTGGAACAGTATTACAACAGATATCCTGGTTGTGTCTGTCTTATTTCTATTGAAAAATATTTTGTTTTCTTCCCTGTCCCATGGAAAAGGTATTAGATAGATGCTTAGCCCTTACTGAATTACTCCCTCAAGTTGTTTTTAATAATACTTTAATAATAAAAGAAAAAAAAAAACTTCAAGTCAAAGTGCAAGCCACCTTGTTTCAGCCCTTCATAAAAGTGTTAATATTTTTCCTCATTCATCTTCACTTATTTTTTAAATATAAAAGCTGAATGAGCTGTTAGGAACTTAGTCCTTCACCCCCTACTGTGCACTCATTTCAGTAGATAGTTCCTCTACTCAGCCCAAATGAATCTGGAAGTTTGTTTTCAAAATAATCATAGAAATATAGTAATTTTTAAGCTGTCCTGTTTCTACATGAATCAGAAGCACTAAGCAAATCTAAACTTAGCCTATTATTGTAACAAGAATTTCTCTGAGTAATTAGCAGAGAGAATATTTCAAAGTTTTTTAAAAGTAATGTAAAAGTTATTTTTTCAAGTTTTTATTAGCTACAATAACCTTTCTATGATTGCACTGTAAACTGTTCCAGCCGTCTGATTTAAAGGAACAAACTTGATATTCCAAAGCCCACTTAGTAGAGGCTAAGAATATGAAAAATATTATAGAAAAGGTTATTGATTGCAAGTGGAAAGAACGATAGTTGAGTTCCTTCCTACAATAATTCTACAATTTGTCTAGGCTATTCAGACTTTTGGGAGCAAGTTTGAACTCCTATGAGCATAATGAACCTGAGAAGCACAGTTAGTGGAAAATTCCCATCATCGTTACTAACTGCCAGCATTTTTAATGCTCTATGTTCTTAGTCTTGTTTTAATCTGACCTTCTGAAATGAAGGTTTACAATAGCATGACTTGAGCCATAGAGAAGAGGACTCTCAACAAAAGTTCCATTAGCAAAGCTGTGGCCAGAGACTCCAATGTCACTCTTGCTAGTAATACCTTAGCTGGAAAAAAACCCCAACAATATGTATCATCAGGGCTTAAAAGGGGTTGAGGGGAGAAAGAGGAAAAGGAAGATGAAGATTTTATCTTCAGGTACCATATACTATTTAAGTACCACTTAGGAAAAAGGCAGCAAATAGGAACCTTGAAGATAGTTTTACCCACAGAAAACAATTAAAAATATATCTATAAACACAACATTTCAGTACTTAAAATGCTGCTATTTTGCTTGCTTCTCGAACCCCACTCAAGTAAGCTCCTGTAACGGTCTGAGGAAAGTGCCTGTTTGTGGCCTGTATTTATAAAAAAAAAAAAGTGAATGGTTTCTAAAACTATTAAAACAGATAGAATTTCAGTTTATAAGGTCAGTTTTGTTTTCCTTAAGCATATACCAAGATTTTTAAAAGCCATGGAAAACTTAGAAGTAATTTAGGAGGAAATATTTAAGGTTTTTAGTAACTTCAAAATTTGCAAGCAAGTCAACTAGCAAAATCGGTAGTCTGTTTTGCCATCTACATTTCAGTGAGGTAAGTTCTATTCCAGTATAGCATGCACCTATATTGTCAGCAGGATGCATTAGTTATGTTACCCCAACAGGAACATAATTTGACTAAAAATACAAGTGGATTTTAGAATCTTGTCCTGTTCTGCACTTAATGGTTACGCAGTTCAGTCCTGACCTGAAATATGTCAGCCTTTCCATGCCCAATAATAATAAGAATAAAGAGGATTCTGTGTCAAAATCAAGAAACATTAGCAGATTTGTGTAACAGAGTATATGCTACCTCTAGATTAATGGTGTTGGTTAGCAAAAGATGATCTCTCATAAGAAATAATTCCCCAGTAACCTTAATCGACAGTAACAGAGATACTTACCTCACCAGCAAAAAAAATTTTTCCTTGTATGTCTTCAGCTATAATGTCATAAGCTTCACCACTGCCCCCTGTTTTTACAAAGCTGTAAGCCATCTGAAGCCAAGGGTCTTTGCTCCATCCAGTAACAAAAAACTTCACTGGGTCAGGAACCTCCTGCATAATCAAAATAAAAGTTATGTACTGCAAAGAAAATCTCATAATTGCATAGCTTTTTCTTAGAAACAGTTTCTTGTAATCTTTAGAGTATGTAGAATTCTTACGATACAGATTTGATCACATTCCAGAATTAAATTCCAATCTTTATTATACTACTAACCACAAAGATAATTTTGTTTGCTAGACTTGTCTCATGTCTGAAACATCACAGTTGCACTGTTTTCAATACAACGCATCTGGATATTGTAATATACCTAGAAGTACGTACGGAAAAAAAATTCTCCTCAAAACACATATATACTCTTACAAACAGATAAAATACATATATCAACATCATTCAACATATTTGTATGTATAAAGTACTTTTTATCTTGGTATGGCATGATGCTTTGCTACTTCTAGCTTGTTAAATCTCAAAATGTAATTTTCATTTTTAGAGATAATTTTATTCCAGTGAAGAAATAACATTACTTAGATAAAAATCAGAAAATGAGCTGGCTTGAAAACTAGTTTCGAGGAGAAAACAAAAACCAGGAAGTCCTACTAAGCCATGACAGTAACACTGTGTATTCTTTGTCACATTGCAGCATGCAAATTCCGCACAATTCTACCAGAAAGAGCCTGGATGACAGTTGTATGAAGGCTTAGTCAATTACAGCTGTGTCTTACTCTTGAGGGGCTTGTGACAAATAAACAGAAGCACTCTTGGTTGCCTCTTGCACAACAGCTGGTATCAACAAACAGACTATTCCGTTCAGACTAAAGCTCAAGCAATCAAGACAATGGCTAGCCAAGTATGGCAAGTTTCATGGACATCCCAGAAGTAGTTCTGGTACGCCCCTGGAAGCTATCTTGTCTTTGAAAATCCTGCTGCACTGTGGACAGAAGACTGAAATTCACAACTGCTATAAACCACGGAGGCAGACATGAAAATCACTCTTCTAGACTAGAGTGGCTCCAAACCAAAGACCAATTTGCTACCTCTACAGTCTCACGAGATCAAAATAGCAGGTATGTGGATTTACATTGCACATGATTCTGGTAACTGTAAAGCCATTACCAAAAGTATGTTTTCTAGGAAAAGTCAAGCCTTCAGGTGCCAAGATTTTTCCAAGATCGTTAATCCTAACATCTGAACCATTGGTAAAACTGGGGAGATCACCCATGAACATTAACAAAAGCATTCCTTGGGATCTGACTGCTCTAAGTAATTTAACTAAGGCATTACTGTCTGTAAAGCAGAATGCAAATAACATTGCTAAGTGGTAGTCTTCTGCTTGCCCCAGATGTCTCTGATTTTCCTCTTAGTTTTTATGCTAATGATGAGCTGGGGGAAGGAAAAAAGGTAGAAATTTTTATCTAAATTTTTTTTTTTTCCCCACAGTCAGGATGTAAGGCCCTTGATAGATCATTTTGCCTGTACCTCCACCCCAAGGCAGCTCAGGAAGGGTTGTTTCTTATTAGAAGAGTAAGCAATTTGTTTGGTTTGGGGGTGCTGTAATTTCAGTTGCTTTTTACATGTGTTTTTAGTGTATCTCAAAGGAAACATATTCCCTCGAACTGACACAAAAAGAAAAATCGTTGAAAACGCCAAAGGTTTTCTTATACATCATGAAGTAACACAATCGAAAGCTTTATGTCTGTTGGCAAGTTAATTCATCTCTTAATAAAAGAGGCTTCTCTTACCTGCTCCTTAAACAGCTCTCGAAGTACAGTCATACACTGTTGCAGTATTTGTTTATCATCTAAATTCTTAATGGTTGTCACAGCATCTCCTGTGACCACTGACATTAAAATGCTTTGTTTGCCCTAAAACCAAGACATTAACAGATGAGATAATTTTGAAATTATTAGGTTATTAAGTATTTCTTGATGAGTCCCTTTTAATTGGTACTGACAAAGACTTTCAGCTGCAGAGCAGCTTTTGTTATAGAGGAAAGCAAGTTTGATTCCTTAGAATAAAGGGTGCATATTCTACAGTATTTATTCTCAAATTACTAACATCCTCTGATGTCTTGTTCTGCTACCATTCAGAAGTTTCAAAGATGAAGTGGTGACTATAGAATAACACACAGATTCTCAAGTCCTTTCAAGAACCCTCCCTTTTTTGTTTATATACAGCAGTTCTTCTGTTACTAAGCTTTATAGCTAGCAGAGAATAGCTATCAAGCAAATTTAAGAATTGTCTCTGGACAGCACCAGCACACTGAACCTCACGTTGAACAAGCTAAAAAGTATTGAAGAGAAAACTTTTAAGGAAAGTCATATACAGGTACAGATAGTATAGTAACAGAGCACAATCTTCACAGGATGGTTTCCTTTTGGAGTAAGCCACAAGATTACAAAATGGCCTTTTCATTGCTGCCAAGTAGTAAGTAGCAACTGTTGTAAGAGCATGAAAAGGTAAGATATGAATATAATGTATATTCATGTATACAATGATACATGTATCATTGTACACATGAATACAACGTACTTGTAACTGGTGGGGAAGACAAACATTATGTCAATGCACTAGTTTCAATTCAAGAGTTTGGGACTGACCCTACAGACCTCAAGTTTCATACAAAACCTAGTGTTTGTCTTTTCTTCTGCCATTCCACATAGTTATTCAGGCTAGTGCAAGCCATTAAGTGTAAATAAGCCAGCATGATCTTTTTAACAGGATTTTTAGCTGATTTAAATAAGAGAACAGAAGTCCTAAACTGGAAGTGACTAGTAGGCTTTTTTCCCCCCATATTAGTATATCTATAGTTAGGTATTACAGACTTGTTTTCAGGAAAGCTTTGAGAATAAAAGCAGTAATTGCTTGTGTATTATTTTGTGTCCAAACATAGGAAAACATTCCCATTTACTACAATGAAGTGTCAATCAGCTTTTTCTTGATAAATAACACTGCTTCCACTTCTTTTAATGGAGGGGGGAGGGAGAAGAAAACTTTCATTTTTCAGTAATTATTGCACCTAGATTTCAAACTCAATTTCTGAAGAGCCAACAGAAAATACAGATAGCATATGATACCTCTGGATCCATGTCATAGAAAACACTAAAGAGCCCACGTTGGCTAGAATTGGGTGGAACATGACCAAAAAAATCAGCTCCTTGAATTTTACTGTCCCAAAATCTATAAGGAAACTGCAAGGCAATCTAGAGAGAGAGAGAGAGAGAGAGAGAGAGAGAGAGAGAGAGAGAGAGAGAGAGAGAGATGGAGTTAAAGCATTTCGTACCACAACATTCGTAACTGGATATGGTATATGTTCTTCTAATTCTTTTTCCCTTTTCCACTCAATTAGAGACAGCTAGTTCTATGAGAGGGTCTCAACAGACAATATTTAGGCCTGTTGTCCAAGGGGGACAGAGAAGGAAATAAAACTGCTCAAATTACAAATGCACAGACAGTATCAAATTCACAATGGAATTCACTACGGAAAATGCTCAAGAAATTCAGCAGAATTTTTACAAACCTAACGTAGAACTTAGTAATCCCCATCCCATGTGTAGGGTTTCTGAATATTTCCTTTAAATTTCCATATTGTTACAGACCTGTTCCTGGCATTACTTCTGTTACTGTTTTGTTCTAAGCACACATCTTACTAGGGATCTTTTCAAGACAGGCTGTCTTTTTGCACTGCGAAAAGGTAGGAGATCTTATGCTGGTCAAGTTCACAACTTTCAGTGTTCTTCTGAAACAGTTAATGTATTTATTAGGTCAAAAGGACCTGGAATAAGCATATTATTAGAATTTTGGAAGATCTAAGACCATCATGAAGGCTTGCTCAAAATCAGGCACAAAATGTTTAAGCTGTGAAGTGATTCTGCAAACAATTTCTTTAAAAACACTGTTTAAGTTGGGAAAGCTAAGAAAAATAAATACATGTAATCCCCAATAGTATCTTGCTTTTCTGGGCTAGTGTATGCAAGCAAAACCAAATGCATAATAAATCCTGAGAAATATGCAGCAAAAGGAACAGGGACAAAGCAATCAATATTTCTATGAAAAGAAAGCAAAAAGTAATCTGAAATTACTTACCTTCTCAATGACTCCTGCTCCCAAACTATTAATGGCCTTAATTTTTTTTTCTGACAGTGGAGGATTAAACTGAATGGCATTTTTCTGAAGAAGGGACAGCGGTACAGTCACTAATACCTGAAAGAAATAATTACAATCACAACAGCAGCAAAAGCTGAATACTGCACTTAAGACTCATAGCATCCTCTTAACGATCTTGGATTATCTTTGTAGGATGCAGCATAATACTCACCAGACATATCTAGATTAGTGTCTGGTTTTACTGCCCATTAACGGGAAACACATGCCTTACATTCAGGTGAGAACAGATCCTGCAGTTGACTGATTTTTAAGTTGTAGTCTGTTAAATTGCTGGTATCAGTGGCTAACCATGCTACTAATTTTAATAGCTCCCATAAATTATAGTCAATGGCTCTCAGATTAACAAAACTGTCTTTTTGAAAGAGGAGAAGATGGTCATTGTTTTGGTTTGTTTTTTTCTTCCTTCACAGCTCCCTCCTCTTTAAAATATGCTCACTAATGCTCTTGATGTCAATCTAATCTCAATCAAGTTTATGTACCAATTTAAAAATTTCTAAAAGCTGAATTACGCAGCATGAAGCAGGTGGGGATACAGGGAGTAAGGGAGACTGAGAAATATGGGTTGTCCAAGTCCTGCATACCAAAAGGGAAAAACTTTAGCAGGGCAGATTCACATGCTAAATGGCGTAAAGCTGAGCAGGGAGTGGAACCAGAAAACATAACTCTCACTTCAAAGGCTAGAGATATGAAAATCTATTTGCTTCACATTTTTAGTACTACCTTTATAGTGCTTAGTTCTTCAAATCAACTAGTACTCAAAACTCAAGTGTGCTCAATGAAAAATAGGCTCTAGGACATCCAAATATGGGTCACTAGAATATATGAGTTTTCACCTCTGAGTGGGGAGGAATTGGACTAAATTCCCTTCTGAGGGAAAAAACACAGACAGACAAAAAGGACATGTACTGTGGTCAATATTGTTCTTGCATTCCCCAAAATCCTTAATCTTGAAGCATATTTGGTACCTTTTGTGTTGTCCACACTGTTCCATCTGCAGTAGTGACCTGTACTTCTTCTCCAGAATAGTCAATACTCTGTACCTATTGAAAGACAAATTGAAGATTATACTACAAAATCTACACATGCAGTGCAAATTCAGACAAGAATAGCTAATATAGCACCAGTCTGCAAAATAGAAATTGAAGAACACAAATTTCTGGAGAAATATTGAAAGAAAAAAATAGCCTCTATGGAAGCTGAAAGAGAAAAATCATAATGATTCTAACACACAAGCTTATGATATCAAAATATTTAAGTACGCATAGTCCTCAAAGAGGATTTCCAGAAATGGTACAGAATGTTCATTACTAGAGAAAGCAAGCTTGCCAACACAAAAGAAGGCAAATAAGAGTCTTTTTTTAAAATTCAAGTTAGTTAAAGAAATGGATTTTTTTTAGTATACACCTGTGAACACTGCATTCATCAAATACTATGATTACATTTGTTATGAATCCTAAATTTCTATTTTCTGCATCCTAGGATGCAGAAATACAGCTATGTTTTCAGTATCACAGATTTAATAAGAATAGAGTTAATCAATACTAATGGCAATGTCAATAATTTAATTTCTGATCAGTCAGAAACTTAACAAAAAAAAAGCAGCTGGAATTGTCCTCTCTTTTCTTAAAGACAAGTCAAAATAATCTCAGGTACAGATTAGCATGGTCCAGAAGAATACACAGGTATGATTGAGATTGCTGTGAAGCACTAAGACAGGCACTGCATCAACATTTTCCAGACTCACTGGGAAATTCAGCCGGATGTCCAACCCTTCTGCCAATTTATCAATCACAGTAGAATATCCCACAGTTAGAAGAGTGTGATCTCCAGCAAACTGGGCAAAAAATTCATTGTGGTCCCATGAGCGTGCAGATACCTGTGGACAGAACATAACTAGATGTCTCTACTGGTGAGGTAACATGGGTACTAGCAAAAGTCACACAGTTTAGAAGAAGCCACCCTAACTCCCTTCACAACCGGAGGAAAAAAGTGTATCACCAGAACATATGGCAACACTGACAAAAGCAAACGGCTTATTTACCTAAGGCCACTATACAACATATGAATTGCTGGATTATGAAGTGTCATAATATGGGTTGGTCACTAGTAGGTAATTTATAGTTCTGCTTGGTAGAGACAACAAGGAAAGTAGTACAAAAATTCAGGTGGATTGCAGTGTATTTATCTCAGTTTTCTGTCTCTAGCAAAGAAACCAGATTTTACAGCCTTAAGACTTCGAAGAAAAATGGAAATATTTTGTTTCCCAATATGAAGGGGAAAATAAGATACAAAAAACTCTCAGCAGAATTTTTCTGTCATTTTGGATGTTCTTCCATGATATCTTTCCTTGACCTTCTCTCCCGACCCATGCAAACTCCTAGTACAATAGCAGTATTTGCACTAAGCGATCACTATTTAGCAATGAAAAATCTAAAGCAATTCTCAAACTGCTATTCACATGCCAATTCCTATCACTGCAGTTGCATTTACTTCATATTTTGATTTTCACTTGAAGGTAGATAGATTTTAACATCTTTCTTATTTCCCCTGTGTCCTTGTGAAGTGTGAAAACTTGACATATCAAATATTTTCCATTAACTGCCCTGGTATAGCATTGCCTTGCAGATTTTTCTGTTCTTATGTGCTTCTCAGTTCAGATCAGATGTGTGCATCTGCACATATCAATCAGCTGTCCCACTACCATAGTACAATGGACCCTAAACATCTTTAATCCAATCAACAGGACTGAGTAAATAATGCACTGCAAACAACATCATACTTTGATATTTCCTGAACCTGCTTGGTTAAAACTGAAGTCGCGAGGAAATCCAAGTATCACATAGTCAACAGAATACCTAGGAGTGGTGAACTGGGGCCCACCGTCAGGGTGTTGGAACACTTCAGAAGTTAAATGCATTTATTCTCAAGATACCTAGCAAGGTAGAGAAATACCTCAGTTTTTAAACACAGAACTGAGAAGCAGAAGTCACACACAACATCTGAGGAAGAGTAACTCTCCTGTGAATCCTACCACCCAGCATCTCAGCAAAACACCCTACTCCACTGCACCATCTACTCTCAACTTCTACATTAAAGAGGATCTCACTGGAAGCATGTCATTAATTCCCATCAGATTACCTAAGGCAGTGCTGGAATCTGTGTCTCAATGCTTTTAAAGAGCAGGTTAGGGATACAGGAACAGTTTAGGGATAGCTGATTCTTCCTTTGGGGCCATGGGATGGATCAGATGACTTCTCAATGTTACTTCCAACCCTATTTTCTATGAAGCTCAACCGCTTCAGAACACAGCTGTCAAAACCCACCTGAGAGAGATTGCTGCCACAGGCATACTCCAAATTACTGAGATGGAACTGTAGTACTTTTTCTTCCAGCTCACTGAACTGGATACCAGACTCCTGAATAAAGGCTTTATAGATCTCTTGTATTTTTTCTGTGAAAGAACATGTTTAAAATAAGAATATATCATGATTGTCAGAAGTCTTACTGCATTGCAATATGCTATTCTCTGGATCACGAGATTTTCCAGCTTATTGCTAAATTGCACTAAGATGTTTTTCTTCTCCTAGAAAAAAACTTTAGATCTTTATGGTGATGAAATACAACTTTGTTGTTTAATCATAGATTTCTCTAGTAAAATCATCTTCTTCAAAAAGAAACATACATAGCTTCAGGAAAAAAAGAGGTTAAAATGATTTAAAAGAAAAGAAAAAGCAGCACCCTGTGCAACAGCACAGCTGGGTTCGCCAACCAAGACAGGGGAGAAATTAATTGTTTAGCTACCATCAGTATACAGTTGAAGTTACTTCAAGGAAAATACACTTTAAGATAGTGGAGAATTATTGCAAATAAATCCTGCTTAATTTTTACAAAACCAAAAAAGCCAAAAAAATTGATGGAGAGTTTGCAGAGGACATAAGAGTTGCTAATTCTGTCTTATGCTGAAAAGATTTAGGAGGCAGACATTTCTGAGGAAGTTTATTTTTTCTTCTTGAATGTGCTTGCATGCTGTAAGTGTGGTGGGAGGTGTTACCAATGGAGATGGGACTATTCTTGCCAGCAGAAGGCTTTGATTTAGGCTCTTTTTTAGACAGATTAGTCAAAAACTGTAAGAGTTATGGCTAGCTATGGCATCCTTCAGCAAGAAGCAAGTCTTTTGAACTGCTAGTGCCACTAGTTATACTGAAAACGCTACCTCATGAAAACAAGATACTACATCAGAAGTCACACAGTGTTACAAAAACCTTCAAATTAGGCTTCCTTAAAAGTTACAAGTCACATTTTGGTCTGTGTATGTACAATAGTCAATCTCCCTTTGTCCTTCTGAGAGCCAGGTTATAATTTTTGCATTTAAGGTCAGACGTACAGCCATACACTTCTAAAAATGTCTGATGTAAAAGCCAATTTAATATCCAACTCTATGAACACAGCCAACACCTTCACTTCGTAATACATCTCCCACTTACCACCAAGAGGAACATCTTGATGTTGGGTTTTGTCTTTTCTCCACTCAGAGACGACATCTAGGATGGCATTGAAATGAAAGTCCATACGTTTATCAATAGTGGGATCTGTTATCCTTCCACCTTCCTGGATCAAGTCACATTTCTCCCCTAGTTTGTGCATTTTAATGCCAAGCTTAAGAAAAAGACATTTTATTGCTTTTTAAGTATGGAAAAACTACAGTGCCTAGCCTGCTCAAAGTTGTTTAAAGTAAGGTGAATCACTCAGATTTATGTGATGCCACTCAAAAAACATCCATGACTAAATAATTAGTCAGATTAACTCAAACTCTTGTTCTCCTGAAAGTGGAATACCAACAATCCTTCTATCCAATACTTGTCCACAAAGTGTTTTTCCCCACTCTTCCATCCTTTATCGGGGAGTGTCCAAAACCTCATCTCCCAACTGTCCTATCAGGTCAGGGGCTAGTACAGAGATGTTGGGTCTGGTAATCAAACACAATGAACCAGTTTTCTTCATTTCTAGTTCACCTTATTCTCTAAATCACCATGAAAATCAGTTACTTTCTACAACTTTCTGGTGCCAGATGCCCAAACAGTTCCCTGCATTCAGGAATTGACGGGATGTTGCTTGCCAGTTTCATTTGGAATTAAACCTAGTATCTTGCTCTCCCTGTCCAACTTCCATCAAACACACAACAGAGCTAAGTCAGAATAAATATGTTTTTACATTCTACAGAGTTGGTCTACAGAAAATAGCACAAACATAGTTCTAACTTCTTCCTAGGGCCTTGTTACTTAGGGTGCGCTCCAGTGTTTTTCACATATCCTCACATCTACCTAGGGTGTTGGTCACCACTGCAGATCTCAAGGTACAGTTGTACTTTGAATGAAAGATGACAGCAAGTGACCACAAAGCGATGGGCACCCAGTGTGTATTCAGAAGTCATTGCTCTTCATCTCATAACTAAACCATGATTTTTTTAATTTTTTTTTTTAAAGTTTTCTTCACGGCACTATACAGCACTAAACAGTTAAAACAGCTTGGGCTGGGTTTGCATGCCTCTCTGAACAAAATCCATATTCAAGTTTCACTCTGAATTCCACTTCTGCCTGAAAAAAACCCAAACCAAATCAACCAAAAAAAAAAAAAATTCTGAACTGCAGTGTATTTGCATCAATAGTTGTTAAACATATTCATCTTAACTTGTGCAGAATTGAACTAGAAATACAGAGGCTGAGCAAAGGCAAGTCCATGACAAAACTATGTATTACAACAACATAGCAATAGCCTCCCACAATAAAGCCTTTCTCAGCTCTGAGGTAGTCTGCCGGGGACCTTTTACATTACTGTCTCCAGAAAAAGCCAAAAAAGTGGTTTCTTCTGGTTCTGAAGTTGGAGCCTCCTTCTTTTTCTTTACGTAATGTGCCTGAAACCATTCTATAGCCCTTCTCTGTCCCCAGCTGTTATCAAAGATAGAATAGCAACACAGAGTTTACTTGCAATGCAGAACAGAGTTTTAATCATGTCATGAAAAAGGACTCCCACCCTTACCCAGCCACCAAAACCTGGCTTAAACAACAATTTTTCACTAGTGATAATGCATGACCACTGCAGGGAACCCACTTGCTCACACATTAGTGCCACTGGGTTGTTGACACATCCATTGACGATTTGTGCACCTCTTCCAACAGTGACTCCTTTGAATGTCTTATCGTCCCACACTCGGCCACCAATTCTGTCTTTAGCTTCTAAGATGATGACCTGTGACACAATGCAGCTTAGTAAATTGTAAGATTTGATTGTATTAAACATATCTGTTCAACTCCAGAGCAAATGTGAAAACAAAACACAGAAAAACCCCAAGCAATCCAGCAATGCTAACAATCGTAACATTTTATATTTGTTTGTGGATATCGTTCATTTATGCAATTAAATTTTATTTTAAAGGTTACCCTTTGAGATATACATATATAAAATAACTATTACTTTAAGAAAAACCCTAACAAAAATAAGCCTTCTTTTTAAAAACACTAAAGACCTATTCAAGAAGTCTCAAAATTGAAGTTTAAGGCATGCTACAGGCTATTAAAGACAATGATCCAGGTGCAGTGTCCATCTGAGAAAGTCCATACACCTTTTGGAGAAATTTATTCCTGGGATATTCCAAGAAAACCCCATTCTCATGTATTTCCACCACTCATACATACCTCCTTAGCATCCGCTATTTGTCACAGACAGACACAGGATACTGGACTAGATGGATGTCTGACTGAGTATGTTTACCCTTAGTTACTTGTATTATCTTTTTATTTTCAGAGAAAGTCTTTTTTAGAGAAACTCCATCTCTCCATAACAGTAGAAAGCAACAGTGTGTGTATATATAAAAAAATATATAATACGTTTTATATATTTTTTTTAAAAAAGGTCCTGCCAGTTGATATTTATGTATTTTACTGCAGGACAGCTTTCTGCAGGACAGCTTTCCACAGGACTTGATAGACAAAAAGGCTGCACTGCAATTTGGTATTTAGCAACCAAAGAATAAATTAATGGGGCTATAGGATTCAGGGTTTCATAGACATATATACATATATGAACATATAAATACATAAATCCGGAAAGTCAGATGCTCATTCATTTCCTTAAATATCAAGCCTGGCAAACACTTCATGTGTAGAGTCCCACATAAGTCTTTTCATAAGAATATTCTGGATGTGTAAAGTCAACATGTAAATATTGTGAGATCAAACTATCAATGACAAATATGAGGGAAAAGGTAAATACAAGTGATTTGCTTGTTTTTAATAAGCAACAAGTAAGTAAAGTGCACAAATGAGAGAAAATTTCACCTCATTTAAACGGCCATCATCATCTACAGTCCCATTATTTGGATATAGATATTCATGTTTCCCCTATCTTCTCAACCCAAATGTATGTAAAATATTCACTGCATGCTTTGTTGAATTTTAGATATAAATAAATGCTATTTTTAAACAGCAGATTTATTAAGTAAAAATAAATCTTAATTTATTAAGATTTTACAAGTGAATTAGGATGCCCTATACATAAATGTTTTTAACAAGAATGTAATTTTTTTCATTTTGATGAAGCACACTTTCAAAGCAGAGGAAGTCTTGATTTTTTAAGTAGTGTACTCTCAAGTTTCTTACCTTAATTCCAAAGTTGTGCAGTTGTCTGGCTGCTGCTAATCCTGCTGCACCAGCCCCAACAATGATGGCAGATTTCTAAAAAATAGTAAAAGATTTAAATAGTTAGAACTAAAATAGAAATTATCATTGCACACTTATTTTTCTTCTTGATAAAGTTAAAAATACCTGTAGGTTTCAGAAGTCTAGGCTTTCTTGTCCTCTAAAGTAATCAGTGATAACTTTTCAAGATGATAGTGCATTTAATACAGAGAAAAGATCTATCATAGCTTTGAAAATAGTTACAATTTTAAGGATTTCTCAATTTCTTTTAACTGAAGCAGCTGAAGTTATCAGTCAAGTAACAAAATCTAACTAAAGTTATCAGACAAGAAACACACTTACTTTATAATGATTTCAATCACAGATTGGGTTGACCAGTAAAAACTATTCTGTAAATTAAAAACATACACAAATACACCTTCCAAACATAGATCAACTTAGAATTTCTAGGAGATATTCCACTACAGAGTACATTAATTTGGTAAGTTTCTGTGTGCTGTCAAGCAAATTGCTAGTCATAAATATCTACCCTTTAATCATAGTTCTTGCAAAACAATATGGAATAGGCATTTCCTTACCTATGGAAGTGGAGGTATATTACAAGATTAAGCCATGAGAAGAACCTGAGTGTAACTTTTTTGCACAGTTCCCATCTGTCTGAAAAGCTCAAATCCATAGGACTGAATTTCATAGATTTTAGTGGGAACAAAAACCTTGCTGGGAAGAGTCCCATGTCTGTAGTTTCTATAACCACTGAAGGCAGATGAGAACCATGTGAAAAACGTGCAATGTGTTTGCTTTTAGATTTCGTTTTTACATAAACGGTTGGAATGACAGGTAATGAACAAAAAAAAACAGTGCCAAAAAAAATATGACAGGTGCCATGTAGTTTTATAGCACTAATAACACAGGGATTATTACAGCAACTTACATTGTGGTATTCTTTAGGAAGAAGATACTGGTCAGGACTGACTGATAAGATCCCTGTATTAATTAGCCCTTTCCTTGTCATAAAATAAAGTATCCTCTCCATTTCCTGTACGCAGCGAATACGCACAAGCCCCCGAACAATAATGTGATGGATACATTTTTGAGGGGTAAGAGCCTCCTGCAAAGGAGAAACAAAGAATAGAAAGTGTTGATTTTCTCATATTCCATTTTTACATGTGTTTACATCATATTTAAACTGTAAATCAGATGGTAAAAATTAATCATTAATCAGGCTTCTGAGAGTATTTTAAAAGCAAGTTTTGTGGAAGTTTTTTTGCTAGCCAGCTTTATACAGTTAGGTAAAAATTCATTAAGCTAGATTAACATGGAATAAAAGCAAATGAGTCTACAAGATACTCTTGCGAACTCCATGGTGTGCTCCATTAGTATAGGAATGGTATTGAAATGCATCCTTGATTGCAAAATGAATCTACCTGGTGGCAATGCTCACAATGACATTCCAGTAAAATCCATTCCAGAATGGCATTCCAAATAAAAAATAGATTAATATCCAAAACCTTCAGATAAATACAGACGTCAGTATCTGAAAGCCTCAGTATGTGAAATTCCAGCAATTCCATTGAAGGTTAGCAAAGTAAAAGTAAAAAAACAATCACTTCCCTGTCTAACAGTCATATGAAAAAAACCCATAAAGCAAGCAAAACCACTGTTTAGAAATGTCCAAGCATCTCTTGAAAAGTTAATAGCTGGGCAGACTCAGCAGTGTTTTAATAATTCTAAAACTTTTGTATTTTACTGCAAAAGAAGCTCCCAGACATTAAAACTCAAAAAAAACCCCAAAAAACAAAACCAGACCACCCCACAACCCACAAAACCAAAACACAAAAAAAAAATCAGCCAATCTTAGAATGGATTTTCAAAAGGATGGGAGCAATTTTTTTAGTGCATAAGGAGATGTCTAAGGAGAGAGTCCAATCCCGTTGCTCCACATCCCAAAAAAGTACCTATTATTTGTAAACAAACAAATTAACGACTAGCACCTCTTACCTTGCAGTTTGTGTACCACAGAGCCAAAATCAGGTTTCTCAAAGCCAAGTACATGGTAGGGTCTCGTGAATATTCTGGGAACTCATAGAGCTCATCCAGTTCCATGACATCTGGCCTCACACAAAGTGCTTTCCCACATTCATTGGGCTGATAAAAAGGCTGGAAATACTTGTTCATGCCTGCAACTGAATAGACACACCAAGAACTAGTCATATTCCATCGCATCTTCGTTGTATCCTTTTCCCTCCGAGAAGATCCATTGACCTCACACAGATAAACAAGTAACGAAGCTTTCCAGCCTCTAGCCACCTTCAGAATTATTTCATTTATATTGCTCTCCCCTTTCCTACCCTCTAGGTTGTGCAGTATTAGTTATTGTCCTGCTGCCTGATGGGTACATCTTGGACTTGTCCAAGCCTAAGTTTTGTCAGAGAAACAGTATGGATGCCATGATAAGTCCAACAAGGAACAGGATCTAAACTCAAGTCTAGCATTGCTGCACAGGCTTATGCAGTCCTCTAAACCCCCTTCATCTTCACCTCCCAATACTGCCCAGTCACTAAAAGTAATCATCTTCCACGTGCAGTACTGGTAGCTCTGTGTAATGAAGTTTTCAGTTTGTTAAGCAGATAAATATCTGTTGAATAGATGGAGCAGATTTACTCTCAGCACCTAAGGAGAGCAAAGATGACACAGAAGCTGAACTTTTCTTCAAAGCACTGTCCCTGAGCTCGTATTGAGGTATATCAATAAGGATGAGTATGGGAATCCTGAACTACCTTTCTCAATACCTGACCTATTCTGCCAATCCACACTCCCAGGCTGTCAGTTTCAGAACTGTCATTAGCAAAAAATTAACCTAAACGGAATCCAAGTGCCTTAAGAAATCAAATCCTTTTCTCTAAAGCCCCAAAGATCCACAATATCAAAACTAGCAGAATCATGTTTTGTTTTGATAAATCTTCATTTCCTTAAGAATGCAAACAAACTTTAAGTACCTGCATGTTAATTTCCCATTTCTGTAAACGAATGACAAGTGGTAAACAAAAAGCCTATGCAGTCTGTGCTTAGTCCCTAAGAAATGCCATACGAAATGCATTACCTTCATCTTACAAACGAGTAAATTGCATCAAAGAAGTACAGAGGCAGTCACACAGAGAGTGTGTATTAGTGCTGAGAACAGAACGAGTATTTCTGAATCAGGAGCATTATGTGCCTTATAAACTCAGTTATAAGACATAATTTATTACACCTATTTAAGCGACAGAGCCCTGCAGATGGCCCTTACCAGTCAAATTAGGCACGCTCTTTAAGTGCTCTAACTTCACAAGGTTGGATTCACCAGGTAACCGATTAGTGCTGGTACAGGATGGACTCATGCCCACGCAGTCTGGATAATATGCAGCTAGAAAGGGAGCTGCCACACTGTCTTTCAGCAAAGGAGGGAGTATGAGCATGGAGTACCACCAATGGTCTGAAACTTCAGCCACTCTCTGGCCAAGCGGAGAAGTGAAGGAAAGAGGGGAGAAGAGAACACGTCAGTACTTTGAAAACGTTGGAAAATGAACCAATTCCCCCCCTCCCTCCAAAACTGAGACCAAAAAGCACTAGAAGTACCAAATTGAATTGCAAGTCATGAAGACATTTTCTCTCCCTCTTTCCCCTTCCTCAGCCTGACACAGAAAACCTGTAGCATTAATCTTTTCCTCTGAAATGGAGCTGAAACTTCACAAACTCCACGCCCACGTGGAAAGCAAACAGATGAGACGTGCCATAACAACACATCTATGCCTTATCAGGCCCTTTATAAAACATTTCCAGTTGTTTACACATCCAGAAATCTGAACTTAGAAAAAGCCTACACTAACCAAGCAATTTAATTTAGATTCTGCTATGCCCATGAAAGACCTTCTAAAGCCCTAACAAACGCTAATGATTCAGCCTTAATTTACAAATCAAATATGCATTAAGGAAACAAAAACACAAAGCTTCTACAAGAGTCAACAGTAAGCTTGAACATGTTTCCTGGGATAGAGGTACCTCAGGTACACTTGTCAACATTGGGTCACTGAACATCAGATCATACTAAATCGGAAATGCAGGGTTACATGATCATAAACCCGTTGCAACACCAATGTACATCAAAGTCTAGTTTTGCATTATGAGGGAGAGGAAAGAGAAAACATGTTTTGATGTTCTCTTGCAGTCTTCAAAAAGAGGAGACTAGCTTGATTAAAGATAGAAACCATCTGAAAGACAAGGAAATTTTAGGATGGGGAATTTTATTTGAACGCTGGCAACTGAATACTGTTTTGCCTGATCAAAATTAAGAATTAGGAGTAAACCTTGAATCACAGGCCACAATTTTGGTATGGTAAGGGAAAAGAGGAAAAAGATGAGAAAGTTGAAGGCCCTAGGCTCCGTTGTAAATAGTGTCTGACAGTTTCCTGAGCAAAATGCATGAATACTGCCATAATTGTCCAAAGGACCAAGAAAAGGAAAGAAATATGCCGTGCTTTAAGATTGCTTTCATATTCTAGGACAAATGAGGAGGAACAGCCACTACTCACCAAGTCCTCAGGCATGGAGCACTGGTCTGAGCCTTCAGTCTGAAAGAAAAGTGAATGGTATCAGAGCTATTAAGCTGTACAACAAAAAGTAAATATAAAACAAAGTAATGTGGCCACGGCATAGTTCTTTAAATTTAAAAAAATGTATCAGTGTTAGCTTTCTCTAGCAGAGATTATTATGTTAGTAAAAATAAATGAGAAATGCATAGCTAAAAATACAACACACCATAAAGCCAAAACACCCGAGAAAATGTTTCTCATTTGTTAAATTAAATAGTTTCTACTGGTCAGACATTAAAATATACACTTTATTCCATGAAATTTAGTGGAATGCTGAAACAAACAAATGGGGAGAAAAAAGAGAAAAAGAATTTTATAGAAAAATTCTGGAAAGATTCCACATTTTCCAGAGAGTCTCTTCCAGTCTAGACTATGAAAAAAGTTTCTCATTTATTTTAAGAGAATCTTTATCATGAAGTTTCAAGATGAAATGCTGACCCTTCTGATTTTCATGTGGTCAGTATTTTAATGTTATAAACTATATAGATTCTATGGCACTATAAGGACCCTCCAAATTTCAGGAGTTATCTTCATGCCAAAGCTGAAAGTCTTCATGTAAAGCCCCATGACAAACTTGACAGAAATTAATAAAAGCCCATTGAGCTTTTCAGATACTTTCCTCAATAATGAAGCATCGGCAAACAAAACCAAAATAAACATTTTGGTGGATGTCTATTTTGTATATCCTGATAAATCTTTCCATAGCTTTAGAATGAAGGATTTTACAATTGATTGTGCAGAGAAAGAGTATTCCAGATACTTCTTTCTTGATGTTTCCACTCAGGAAACAGAAAGGGTAAACAGCATGTAGGCCTGTCACCATGCAGCTCTCCAGGCCATCAGACAATCATTTTGGCATTAGAAACTTTAAGCAGCAAACAAGAAGAAATTAGTGTCTGCAAACAAGAAATACCACCTTGTTGTTAGCTTCAATATGAGCAAAAATCTCCAGTGTTACCTTGGTGGAATTGTTCAGTTTCATACCACATCTGTAGGTTTTTGCTATTTGTGGTGTCAGCTGGATTTCCTTTGTCAGCTGACGCCATTTACCACAATCTGGCTTTGTGCACTGCACCTACAAGTCAAAAAACAAACATGTTTTTACTTGTTGCTGTCTGATTACAGATAAGATTAATGAAGCATAACTAACCGATTAGAAAGAAGGGAGATGTGAGGAAGTTGTCAAATATAATTGTTGAACTTGTTCTCATGTAATCCTCAGGTCATAATACATTCGGTATACAGAAACCTTGTGCCCATCTCCTCTAAGACTGAATTTCTCCACAGAACCTAACTCCAAAATGAATTCAACACCCAGCTGAATTACCCACTATGGTCTTCAGTGGGTTTTGCAAGCATTACTGCAAAAACACATTGTTCACCGCCTCAAAAACAATAACAACAAAAACCCAGCACCAACAAACTTCTTTCCATTCCAGTCTCTCTTCTTCTGCTCTCTTTAATAGGGAAATACAAAATCTGTTTTGGAAGTCTTTCACACTCATGATTTCCTATAGCTGGCACGGTCCCTTTTCCCCGCCAAGTCTTACTCTACCTGAATATCGCACATCTTCATGCGTTTGCCAATGACACCAAGCTAAGTGGTGTGGTTGGTACTGTAGAGAGAAGGTATGCCATCCAGAGGGACCTTGACAGGCTTGAGAGATGGGCTCATGTGAACCTCATGAAGTTCAACAAGGCTGGATATGCAGCCCAGAAAGCCAACAGTATCCTGGGCTGCGTATCAGAAGAATCATGACCAGCAGGTCAAGGAAGGCGATTCTCCCCCTCTACTCTGCTCTCATGAGACTCCGCCTGGAATATTGCATTCAGCTCTGGGACCCTCAACATAAGAAGGACACGGACCTGTTGGAGAGAGTCCAGAGAAGGGCCATGAAGGTGATCAGAGGGCTGGAGCACCTCCCGTATGAGGACAGGCTGAGAGAGTTGGGGTTATTCAGCCTGGAGAAGAAAAGGCTCCTGGGAGACCTTATAGCAGCCTTCCAGTACCTGAAGGGGGCCTACAAGAAAGCTGGAGAAGGACTTTTTACAAGGGCATGTAGCGATAGGACAAGGGGTAATGGCTTTAAACTGAAAGAGGGTAGATTTAGACTAGATGTAAGGAAGACATTCTTCACTATGAGGGTGGTGAGGACCTGGAACAGGCTTACTCAGAGAAGTTGTGCATGTCCCATCCCTGGAAGTGTTCGAGGACAGTCTGATGGGGCTTTGAGCAACCTGGTCTAGTGGAAGGTGTCCCTGGCCATGGCAGGGGAGTTGGAGCTAAATGATCTTTAAGGTCCCTTCCAACCCAAACCATTCTGTGATTCTATGATCTTAGCTCCCACTTCGCTAAAAGCAACAGAAGGTTGTTCTTTGTGGGGTATGGAGAAGGTCTCCAACAATGGAGAAGCTGATCAAAATTATTATCTTCAGCTTTTCCACAGTCCCCTAATACTAGAAAACCTGCACAAAACTCAGCTGACTTGCTGCTTGAACATACAGTATGAGAAACTCACATCAGAACATCACATTGAAATATACCCTATTAAATAAATCACCTTCCATCTTACCCAGTAAGGAAGTTGTTGATCAGCCATGAAGGCTTTTGGACTTGGCTCACTTTTACCATTACTTGTCCAAATCCTTTTCCAGGCAGTGTATTTCTCATAACCATCCTTATGGCTAAGAAGAAAGAGAAAAAAAAGCAGCAAGCAGTCAGAAAATTGAATATCTAGTTCATTTCAAGCAACAGCAGTTATTCTAAAATTAAACATTTTATATTACACAAAGAAATGAGGCTGTAGAGTCTCCTATATTTTTCCTATTAGAAAAGGAGAAAGTCGTGGTTCTTACAATAGCATTAAATTGCATCCTGACCCCTGTGTCCTCTTGATCGTGAACACACTCATGATCAAGTATCCAAGGCCTGGACTGAGTCACGGGTACTGCTGAGCACATATGCACGCAAAAGTCTTAGCAGAGCTGGACTCAACTCCCACTCAGATGGGAAGTAGCTTGGAGCTGAAAGCACTCTGTGAGCCTGTCCAGAGTCTTCACAGTCACTGAACCGCAAGAGTTAAATCTGCTCAATTGATTTCATGTTACAGAGAGGCAAGGTCTCCTGAACTCACATTGTAAAGTGAATTTGCCTTATAAAGGAAAATAGATTTACTTAAAACTGTTCTTATAATTTAAAATTTTCTGATGTCGTTTTAAAAAAGACAAAAGCTTCAGAATAACTGTACACTCAAACCAACCCGCCTAAAGTAACCACTTTTGTTCACACTGCTATCTTTAAGTGGATGATTAGTCCCTGCAACACCTGCAGTTTTAGCACCAATATCTAAGCCTCACTTTGAATAAAGCAAGCACAGAGGACAAGCCTTTGTATTACGTTTATGTACATGATGTTTCAACAGTTGTAACATCTGCCAAATTTTAATAAGCACTGAAAAAGCACAACCTTAACTGGCAAAGCTACCTTCGGTAATAGTGGTCAAAGCATTCATTGCAGAAGTGTTCCCCACAGGAAAGATGATACCACCTAGACGTATACCCATTTTTAGCACATCTGTAATGCAGGAGACATAGAAATAGTTTTATGATACATTTAGAAAAAAATCTTTCTATTGACAGTAGCACATTCTAGAATGTGAACAAAGTATTCAGGACAAGCGAGGGCTTTATGCTACATTCATGAAGGCTGGCTTGCACAAGGCACTACAGCCATACAAATAACAATAAGATTTCAATTGTCTCAAACATTTCCAGTTTCCAAACTAAGCAACACCAGATGCAAAGGAGGCAAAATGTACACAATGTGCAGTTTTATAGTTGGTCTGGCTTCCAGCAACCTCCCGCTAACAATGGTCAACTGAGCCTGTCTTTAGTACTCTTTAAGCAGACGTTTCCTGAACATGAAACACCATTTGGTCTTACAGTATGTGCTGCGACACACTGAGTGTTTTGCAAATGTATAAGGCGGCAAAGTCGCTCTCCAAAGGAACTTACAGTTCCTTTACTTCGTTCCTTTTTGCTCTGGTATTAGTGCAGGGGTGGGAGGGATCACTTAAATTGGTATTTTTCTTGTCCATGTGATCAATTGATTCATAAATCCTTACAACATCCCATCCCCATAACAACTGACAAAACTATAAAGGCAAATCTGAACACAAAACAGATGTTGCCTATTTTTTTCACGTGAGTTGGCTGCAATTTTAACCCAATGACAGAAAACCCTGAGGAAGCAGTTACACATTCTGGGCATTTATTCTTTATTACTCTCCGAAAGAAATATCCATTAGCAAGCAAAGATTATATTCATCAAACAAAGCAATTGCTCTTCACTTAGAAAACTCTCTAAACTCAAGGAAATGGTTCAAGATAAATGCACGAGGTAAAAAAGCAGTGACCTAAACTACTAACTGAAATAGCTAGCCATGAAATGATCTCATCTCAAATAAATAACGTTGAAAGTATGTACTTGGGGGGGTAAGGGGGTGTGGAAATTAAAGTATTAAAATAACAATTCAAAAAGATGACTAAGCAGTATCTGCTGTTTCCTAAATAAAAAATGTAGTATCACCAATGCTGATCTCTCAGGTGCTCATTTCCCCTACAAGCCTCTTACGCAACGTGCCAAAACACTTGGCTTTCCTATGATAACATCCCAAATACACTGACCTCCTGCCACCAAAGAGCAATCCACATGGATAACTAAATGAAGCACTGCATTATTTTATATCATTAGAAAATAAATGAAACAAGGAAATTTTGTGTCAATTAACTAGGGAGGGAGGAATGCTATATAATTACAGTCTGTCTACTGCATAATGAGGTCTAATGTGTTGCTCATTATAGATACACCTTGCAGTATAATGCATTCAGTACCACCAGGGTCAGAATGCAAAAGGATTTGTGCAAGTACAGAGAAAGCCAGGAACAACTCAAGAACAAAGAGTTCAAGTAAGTACGACTGTCTCCCAAAATCCAAAATTTCAAAGTCAAAATCTCACCTCGAACTGCAAAGCATTGAAATGAAAGAGTGATAAAGGCTTTCTGCAGTAAATGATGGTTTCATTTTCCTTCTTGAGAGCAAGTTTAGCTTCCTCAGATTACACTAATATGTTCTCAGTTTCACAGAAGCAAGGCATGTTCCAGAAGACACCATTAATAACATAAATAACATATTCTAAAGATATTCTATATCTGAATTAGCAACTTGCACAGTAGAAAGTTATCCACAACACAAGTAACTCGTGACACTTCCCTGGCATCTTAAGACTCACACTGGTACCTTTTGATTCTCCCTCTACATTTAGAAACAAAGGGATTTTTCAGAATATAGTTAGGATTCTAAACTTCATCTGCAAGTTTAGAAAAGTCCATGGAAAATGCAAATAAAAAGAAACAAACCTTTCAGCTGCACTCGCAAAGCAAACGGGACACGTTGCAGTGCATCCAGCTTTTTCACACTTTCTATATTTCTTCTCTGATGCTTCTTCATCATCATCTGCTGCTTCAGCCGCTTTCTTCTTCACCTAATAAAGAATAGCTGAAATCTGACCAGAAATAACACAAATGCATCCTCTACAAAATAGCAGTCAGACAGTTTTGCAGCTTGTGGGTAGCATCAAATGGTTAAAATGGCACTAATGAAAATTTGTGTATCCATTTTGAAATAGCTGCAGCATGAAACAGCTGTTGAAGTAGGTCATTTTTGTCTTAAAAAACAAACAAACAAAAAAACCCCACACACCACCAAAAAAACAAGTAAGACTGGAAATATCATTTAAAGCTAAAATGTCTTGCCTTAGTCTAACTGATGCCATTGAAGAAATTGTAAGCAAAGCTTCCAGTTTAAATCATATTTTAAGCTCCATCACGTTAATGGGTCAAGCCTCATGTGTTCATTCAATTTCTTCAGAAAAAGAAAATCTCTTCTTCACATACTTATCGATATTAAAAAATTAGCAGCAATCTTAGTTGCACCTCAAATAAAATACTAGGGTAGGCTTGGGGCTTTTTTTGGACTCCAGACAAAGCTGTATACCAAATCTCCCTTCTGGGTCTCGAAGGCACTGTGTGTTGTGTTGGTTTAGGCTTCCCTCTGGATGGGCAGACAGCTTTGTCTGGCTGTACAGAAGTCTGTGATTGTACTTTTAACACATCAAGTATTTACAGGTTATGTTCAGCATTTGTCTTTTCTGAATATTGTTCAAAAATGAGACACTGTACCTACTTATTCACAGAACTGACTAATTCTCCCTTTCTCTGGAAAAGTTCTCTAAGTCCTAACTCATCCACAATGAAGCCCACTTTCTTTATTAAATGTCAACAGAAAATAAAAAATACCAGAGTATGAACCCATGTTTTTTTTAAATTATTATAAATACCTGTCTTCCAGAACTCCTCAGAGGAAGGTTGTCTGGAGACTGGTCCGAAGAACATGCCTTTTTTTTCGTTCGTACCCTTCCAGTTGACATTGTATTATTAGATCTGTAAAAGAAGGTAGGCATTAGTTAAGAAAAAAATTTAAATTGCTTGACTTTGCAAGGCTGTCTAATCCCCTGGGCAGTACAGCCACTCATAATACTACTTTTGTCAGAGTTACCTAGGTAAGAATCTGTTTAGCTTGAGTATTAATTCAGGAGGAAAACAAGAATGAGGCATTACAGGAAAGGAACACTACTACTATTTTAAACTAAATTCGGCGTTAAGATTACATCCTTGAGTACATCTTGACGGGCTGTTCCAGATCAGCATACCCTGGATTTCAGTAATCTGATTTGCATTACGTGAAGACCTGGAGTGGAATTTGGGTTGGCAAAGTGAATAGACATCCGCTTATAATGCAAGCACTGAAATACCACTCTGAGTTAACGCTTGTCCTGCTAACTACTGATTTATTCATTGCAAGAGATTTGCACTGTAAAGCACTTTTCCGAACAGCGTACTGAAGAGATGTTTAATACCAGGTGGACAACCAGTTCCAAGACTTGCACACCCTCCTATGAAAGTACAGCAGAATGTAAAGTCTAAACTGCAGCTGCATTGCAATTATAGGTGATCAGAATATTACAAATGCAGTTGTTAAGCATACTATAGGAGAAATAAAAAGCTTATGCCACAAGAGAGCTGTATAGCTGTCTTTGACAACACCAATGGGAACACAGAAAAGACCACAGTTTATCATGTAAGCTGGAAAGCACACAATGTGGGAAAGTATGACACAGAAATAAGAAAGCATATTTAAAATGCTATTATCAAAGGCATTCTTTTCACAGGGAGTAAAACACAGATAAATAGAGCCTAGAGGAAGAATTAAATCTAAATGTGCTCCACCGCATACAGAAAGGAAATGGAAATTAAACCCTTATACTACAGCACTGCATCATGAGTGTTACCGTGTTGTAGTAGGGATCAGTTTGCAATTTTTTTTTTATTATTATATTTGAGACTTCTCAATTCTCTTTGTTCCAGGCTGCATCTTCCTTGTTCAAGCTGACCATGGTGGACATGGTAGCAGCAGTTTCATTCAGGAATTCTGCTAAAAGTAAAGGTAACAGGAGGAGAGAATGGGCATTTTTACAAAGTTTCAAATGAAGCTGATGCAAATCAAGTAAATTGGTGCTTTATTCTCCTCTCAAGGTAGAAGATATTGATTTGGGAGGGGATGAGAAATCTCATGATGATATCCACATAAGTGAAAAATTAGTTCAGACAACACAATACAAAAAGAACTTTCTTTTTTTATGCAAACCCCCCATTATAACTAATTAGAGGTAGGAAAAAAAGAATTAAGTCAATCTTTATTACATTAAAAAAAAAAAAGTCACTCCACTATAACTTACCACTATATGGGGGTGGATGAGTTTGGAGAGTAGAGAAAGGAAAAACCAACCAGTTTCATTTACGTAAAATTTCCCTAAACTGCTGTGTAACGCCCCAGGAAATGGTGGCTTTTTTCCCCTCTCTGAGCTTTCCTTCTGGATCAGTGGCACAACATCCTTCTGTATCACCTCAGCTTCTGACGCTAGAATCGTTCCTACACGCTGTGGCCTTTACAGTCGGAGGCAACGGACTGCCTCAGCACTGCGCGAGGCACCAGGCGACTTCATTTTGGTGACTACCGGGTGACTACAGCCTGCTGCTGCCGGGCCCTTTTTTCCAAGCAGGTAAAAGGACACGCAGCTGTTTCATCGCATACACAGGGTTAGAAAAAGAAAAAGCAGCGGTTATCATTCACCGAGAAGTTTGGTAAAAATATTTCCAGATTCAGAGAGGCCTCCCCTTTTGAAGGGCAGAGGCCAGCCGTACCGAATCACCTGTTTTGGCTACGGGAGGGATAGAGGGAGGTGGGGAGAAAGAGGGAAAGAAAAAGAGAACAGCTTCTGCACATAACTGTAAGCGAGGCCATTGCTTCCAGTTGTATGCCAGTTTGTCCCCACTTCCCCTCCCGAAACAAACACCACTCCCCAAAAAAACCCCACAGCTTTTATACAGAGCGAGCAAACATTGCTTACTTTACTAAGCTTTACATGACTCTGCATCCTATAAACGTTATCACACTGGCTGAGAAAATAAACCTTTTAAGAGGGGAGAGAGAGGGATGTATAATACGCTGTCACATGCTATAACGTTTCATCCGTCTGTAACGCGTGGCCTACATGGGGAAGCCTTGTGAGATTTACCTGTACCGCTGGCAGCAAGTTTGTCTTGCGGGGGGGGTGTACTAC